GAGGCTGCTTGCCTCGATCTTTACCTAGCACGCGCGAAATACAAAACGCAGCGCTCGGCGCATGACCTGGCAGATCCGATGCACCACACTGCCAGCGAACACCGAGAGCACAAACCACAACGCGAACACCAGTAAGTCTGGGCCGGCGGAACGCCGACCTTGCAAACACAAAGAGTCAATCGCTAGTGAGCACTCGACGGGTTCGCGAATGATCCTTCCTGGGAAAACTAGGTTTTGCCCTCATGGGCTCGCCGACCGTCTTCTTAAATGCGGGGGGTCCCGCAGAAAGCTCGCCAGCAGCGCAGATCTCCAACTGGCGGATTAGACCACGAGAAGCGGGCCGAAAGGCCACAGGCGAAGACAGAATCGCAGTCGCCCAGGCACTGGCAGGCGCGCGCCAGAAGATCTGCCCCCGACACGAAATCTCTCGCGGGAGCCTGGACCTCTGCTCAAGCAGCACGTGAGCTGGCTGACTGCCAGCGGCGGCGTCCACGGACAACTTCCACGCCGCCGCCCTCTTCCAGGAAGTGAGAGGCGCTGGCATGTCGCAGCCCGCGGGGAGGGCAAAGAGCTCCCAGCTTCAAATCCAACGAGGCCCCCCCACCTGGCTCGACGGTAGGAGGCCGCTGAAGAAAAAAACATCTAACAAAAATCCTCGGGGCCCAGCCATCGGAAAAGACCACCCATCCAGCCTTTTGTCGAAGTCATATGTAGAACAACTCCTCGGCCAGACCCCGACTAGACTTGCCCTCCTCGGCGTCTGTCCCCCGAGAAGAGCGAGAAGCTGCCGCGGCGGTCCTCCGCGCAGTGCCCCGCGCGCCGCCGCGCCCAGCCCTGCTCGCGAAGCCGCCCGTCGAAGGACAGGTGGACGGCGACGGCCTCCATCGCGAGGCCCTTCTCGGTGAGGGCCAGGGCGATGCGTGCAATGGCCCACTTGGGAACTGGCGCACCTTCTCTGGTCTGCTGAAATCGCGACCAGACTTGAAGAGCACGATGTGCGATCGGCAGCCCCCCCTGTGATCATGAAACATATGACAGAAACTATGGAAGACACATGAACCGTTCGTAGACTGAGCACTGCCGATGTAACACGAGTCTTCCAGATACCTCGCCAGAACAAGACCCCCCTGGGCCACTGCGCTGAAACGGGAGCCCGAACGCTGCGCGTCAACCAAAAAGAACGGACTTCGACCTGATATATTCGTAGCATCATCCACGGCATGAACGATCAGCCGGCTGTCCAACGCAGCCTTCCGCCCTATTGCACTGACCCAGGCCAGGGCCCCTCTCTTCTGAAGCGGCGGGAAAGGCACCCTCGGCCGACCGCGAATAGCTTCTCCACGTCAGTTCCCCCCGCAGCTTCAGCAACCATCGAGAGGAAGCCCAAACCATGAAACACGCGGAGCCATCTCACCAATGTCGTCGACGTTCGCTGGAACCCCTACCGATGTGAGAATGGAGGGCACAGAGCGAAGAATCCCCCTGTCCAAGTGCGCCTGGAAGTCGTCGCGTCGAGCCCGACGGCCCCCCGCTCGATGGTCCGTCGGCGCGGTTGAACTCGCTCGGCGCCCACTTGAGATAGAGATTGATAGCCGCGGCCATGGCGATGGCGGCTGCCTCCCCGCAGAGCCCCAGGATCTCGCGCGCTTTCGAGCGGCCCTTCGACAAGGCCCCGAGAACGACGAGGGGGTCGGTGTAGATGGGCACTCGGTGGCCCCACGCTTTGGACGCCCCCCCCCCCCGCCCCCCCGAGTGTCTCGCGACCATCGCCGCGCCCCTGAGCTCCAGCAGGTTGTCGTGCTCCAGCCCGCCCCACTTCCCGCTGGACAATGGGCCCCACCTCTTCGCCAGCGCGACAGCTGATCCAATCGCCGGTGGGACTGCTCGCGCTGGGGCTGATCGACCTTGGCGAGATCCCCCCCACCGTGCGTCTGCTGTCGAGGGCCCCATCTAGGCTGAGCTTGTAGAACTGAGCTGCAGCCGCCGCGCACTGGCGACAGAGGCCCTTCGGGCACGGGCGCGCGATCTTCGCCCAGAGCTTCCCGTTCTCGCTCCGACCTCTCAGCTGTCGGCGCGGCGACTCCGCCATCGAACGCCGGCCCGTTCGACCCGTGCAACGCCGCCCCCAGGCCGCCAGCTCCCCGAAGTTCCCGAACAGGCGGGTCGGCTTCTCCCCAGGCCCCCCGAACTGGCAGAAGCCCAGGTCGACCGAGACGACGCCCGCCGTTTCCAAGAGGGCCATCGCCAGCGGGCGCGCCCAAGCGGGGGGGGCCATCGGGTTCTCCAGCACGAAGGGCGCCCCAATCCTCAAGCACTCGAGCGCCACCTCCACTGCGTTGCGGCAAAGAGCGTTGCCAACCAAAACCTGTTGGCGGCAGCTCTGGGGGAGCTCGGCTAGCCCGCGAGGGGCCGCTCCAAATCTCAATCTCGGCCTCCTAGCCCGGGAGAACGCGGCGCATGGCGGAGCAAGGTGAACCATCCAGCACCATCCTGACCTGAGCTGCTTGAGGACCCCGGCCAGGTTCACAGGCTGCCGCACGTCTTGGGAAGGGCCCCATCTCGATGTCCCAGGGGTCCGTCCACGACCCCAGCACCTCTCGGACCGCGCTCGAGAGGTTCTCGCCCCCCGAGAAGAACTCCAGGAAACCTTCTGATCGACCTTCGCCTGCTCGACCTGGCCCTGGAAACCCCCTCCATCCTCGGTCGCCGTGGCCCTCGTCCCCCGCGCGCACCTCGCCCATCGAGACGACCCGCCCCTGGGCCGCCGAGCCGCGCGCCTTGGCCCCTGCCTCCTCGACGCCGCTGTCCACGATGACTGCCCCGCCACGGAGCCTCGAGGAGGCTCTCGAAGAATGCCGACAGACTCGACATCGCCATCAGCTCGCTTCGAACTGCACCCCAGATCACCTGATTTTTCACCTCCTCGTCTTCGACGAACGAGTGGATCCACTTGAGGATCTTGTCTGGTGTCGAGAGAGCTGGCCAGTTCAAGAGCGCGACCCACGTCCAGAGACCCAGCAGCGACGACACCTCCACTGGCATAGCCCGCCCCTATAGGGCAAAAGCCTCGTCGCGCAGAACTGGGGCTTTTTAGTTTCTCCTGGCGCTGCCTCAAGATGCAAGGCACGCTCTCCAGTGTCAACCCCAGCCCCTTCTGCGTGCCATCGCCGATGGCCTCCTCGTGGAACGGGGCGCCTCGCATCAAAAAAACCGATCGCATGGCACCCCGTAGATCCAGCGGCCCCGCCCCGTCGTCCTTCGAATGAAGATGGAAGGCGATGAAGCCGTCGGCATGTAGCGCGAATAACATCTCGAATAGACTGAAAAACGGCACCGCCGAGCCGCGGGAGATCCCCGACTTCGACCAAACATGCATGCGCAATTAAAACTGCCCATGAAAATGCCATCGGGTTCACCTTCGGGCCTGGACCAGTCGCGCCCCCAGGCGCGTCTCCGACGTCGACGCCCCTGATTCTCGATGACCTCAGGAACCCGAGCGGTTTAATACGTTCCAATACACAAAACTCAGCCATCTGCCTGGGCTTCTCGGGAATATAGAACCAGTCGGGCAGGCCCCCCCGCGTCGTCGAACGCTTTCTTGCATGCAATATAGCACCGCCCAACTCCACCAACCGCGAGGCCGCTGGAGAGCCCGGCGGCTCCCAGGGAGGGGGAATTGAAGAGGAGCCCACTTGGCGACTATCCCAAACCAACCGAGACGACTGCACAATCGGCTCTCAATCGGGATCCGGCTCGACCTTCTCGAACGCCGTGAAGACCTCAACTAAGGGGCGGGCCCTCGCGACGAACGACAATGTCCCGCCCTGCCACGTCCTCGAGGTGAGCTCGTTGCGGGTCGCGGCCTTCCCCCATCCAGGGCCCGAGTACGTCTTGATGGAGGTGTACTTGCCCCAGTCCACGTGGTCCTGAGGGAGAGGCATCTTCCCCTCGAAGCCGGACAGGTCGGTGAACGCGGCCCCCGACTGGTCGGCGCCCTGGATCGGTGTCGCCCCCGGCGCAGGCGCCGCAACTTGACTCGCCGCCATCGGGCGCATGGCCCGCCTCGCCGGGGGCCTCCCTCTCGAGGAGGACGACGTCACGTTTGACTTCCTGCGCCCGTCCTCGGGAATGCAATCTGCAGATGAACTCGCCCTGTCGCCGCCCGCTGGGATCCAACCATCACGCGAAGCATGTCTTCCCCACGGGTCCTCCACAATCCTCCCGCGCAACAGCGTGACCCTGGACCAATCTCCACTGGCTGCCCCCGCTCGCGGTCTCGTGGTCCACGGGGGAAAGGCTCCAGAGGACAGATCTCTAAGGGCCATCACCGTCTCGCGCGCCAGATGCCACGTCCTCCCCAGCTCGTCGGGCTTCAGACTGACCGAGCTCGGATGACGATCGAAAGGAGCTGGATGGGAAGGAAGATGCCGCGGGGGGTCGCGTTCTCGCTGCTGGTCGGGCGCAACCCCAGACGGAACATACGCGGCGCCCATGGCGCTGCGCACTCCCACCAGGACGCCTCCGTATCCTCGCGGGGCCCGTCGATGCTGGGCGCCTCGGCGGCCTCCTCCCCCATGTCCTCCCAGCTGCTGCCAGAATGATCCGAGAAGCCCAGCAGGGCGAGGAGGCCGGCAAGGAAGTAGGCTTTGGCAAACGTGGCGCCTGCGCCTCGGTCAGCCGCAGGCTGGCCCAAATTGATTGAGCCAGAAAACTTGAGCGCGCGAGATAACTTAGCACACTCATGGCCTGTGGGAGAACCAACGCACATGCACTCGGGCAACCACAGACAGGACGGCCCGCACTCCCTCAGACCGCACTCCACCTCAGGGCACAGAAAAGTGCGTTTGGCAAACTAGCAGGAAGAACACTAGGGTACCCTCCCCGAACCGACCTCGATCTTGACCTCGGTCCGACTGTACCCCAGCGTCGATTGGACTCGTCGGGGTAGAGTGCGTCAGTGGTCACAGACACCGCGCAGGGCACGGGGGCGCTGCCGCGGCCTCGGGCACCAGGGCGGCGGAGCGACAGCGCACCTCTGGGCACTCGTCGGCCAAGCAGGCGTGCAGCGCCGGCGCGAGCCTCCTCGGGTCCAGCTCCCTGAGGCCCCGGGGCAGCTGCAGCAGCCTGTGTCTGCCGGGAGGCTACTGGGTGGCAGGGCGGGGAGAGGACGGGAGGGATGGGAGGGTCGAGATGTGGTTTGGGCGTGCCTCCCTTTTTTTGCGGGGGGGTCCAATGGAGGGTCCTCCCAGCCGCGGCCCGCGAGAGGCTGGCTAGATGGACCTCAGGAGTGGCCCAGGGATCGCTGTGGAGCGGGGCCAGGGCTGGGCGGCCAGGCAAGGGGGGCTGCCACGCAAGAGGGCAGACGGTCCTTCCTCAGAGGCATCTCGGAGGGCCCCTGCAGAAAGCGGAAGGCGGGGGGGGGGGGGGCAGGCCTACTCAAGAGGCGGGGAGGGCCCCCTGAGGAGGCCGCCCCCCTCGCCCTGCCCACCCCCCGCGCGCTGCCGACGACGACGACGACGACGACGACGACGACGACGGCGACGACGACGACGACGACGACGACGGCGGCGGCGGCGGCGGCGGCGGCGGCGGCGGCCTCGGTGGCGGCGGCGGCGACGACGAAGACGACGGCGACGAAGGCAGCGGCGAAGGCGGCGGCGAAGGTGGCGGCGAAGGCGACGACGGCAAGGGCGCGGCGGCGGCGCGCCACCGAAGGCCTGTCCAGAGCTGGCAGCCGCCCGTCGCGCCTGGGCCCCTCGAGGTCGCCGAGGAGGGCGCCCGCATCCATCGGATGCCCGCAGCCACGCAGCCGCCCGCCCCCCTGGCTGGGGCGGGGCGGCGGGCCTGGCGCGGGCGGCGCAGGGCCGCGGAGCGCCATGTCGTCTTGGGGCGCCGTCGTCGGCTTCCTGGACGTCTTCCTGCCTCGGGTGTGCGCTCCGGCACGCTGCGCCTCGCCGACGCGCTTCCGGAAATGAGCGTCGATGTCCGGAGGCTTCCCCGTCGAAAGGGCCATCTCGGGTCCAAAGGACAGGTTGGGAGAAGGGTCAGGAAGTTATCTCGGCAATAGAAGCCGAGTCCATTCCGCCGAGCGGCCGCCTGAGACCCGAGTTATGGCCGCGGCGCCGATAACAGATCGGGCAGGCGCAAGACTCCAGTTTAGGGGGCTCGAGTTTGCCTGACGAGGCCGCAACAAAATGGCGGGACCTAGTCTGAAATATGGCGCGAACTCCCGCCAGAAACATCTCACGAAAAATGGAGCGTCAAGATCCATGTTGGGACCGTCAATGAAGCGGCGGCAAACCCGAGCTCCGGCAAAGCCTCAGTTTTCTCCGACGGAAGGCCCAAAGAGTCGGAGGAGCTGGGGGTGGTTGGACAGGGGGGCCGGAACGGGGGGACAGCGTGAAGAAAATGGCAGCAGGTGGGAGGGCTGTGAAACGTGGTCCCGAAGGAACGCAAAGGGGTACGGTCGGATCTGGGCCATGAGAACATCCCTCAAGAACATGAGACACTCCGTCGGCAAGAACAAACAGAACATCCGAGGGTACCCTCCTCAACGTGCACAAGAACATCCAACAAGCACGAAGAACATCAGGGTACCCTCCCCGAAGCGACCTCGATCTTATACCTCGGTCCGGCTGTAAGGCAAGCTCGTGTCGTGACAACTTGCGGCTTGCTTTATCACACCTTGCGACACCTTGCGAGCGGGGCGCGGCCAGCGAAAAAGGCCAAGGATAGGACGAAGGGGAAGGATGCGAAGGGTGACCTTGGAAAGCCGCTCATCCGCACTGTGCGGGTTGACTCTCAGATAAATTCGTGTCGTGACGGCTTGCGCAACGATCCCTCGGAAGTAACGCAGGACTCACGCTCTAGGGCCACGGTCCCTTGTAAATGACACTAGGTTCGCGCTCCGAGGGCAAAGATCCCTTGTAAAGCAAGCTCGGCTCGCGCTTTAAAGGTCACCGCGTAAATCTCACCAGCTCTCTGGGCGAAGGTGGTTTAACTAGATCGTTCTTCCCTCTTCAAAGAAACCCTCTTCCCCTTTGGTGAAGGGTTTATCACTGTTCCTGATTGATATACACCCCCTCCCCAAAGTGACCAGGGGCCAACCCGAAACCATGCCGACTCGCCCCACACCATCCCGATCAAAAAACAATACAAACCGCACTCGGTCTCCACATTTGGAGCATGCGCAGCCAACCCGATACGGCTACCCCCCACCATCCCTGTCAAAAACAATGCAAATTACCAAAGTCTCGAGTCATGTTCGCGAGGCCCGCGAGCACTATACATTGCTTTGACAAGGACGGCGGGGGTGTCAGCATATTTCCTGCTGCGCGCAGGGCTACCATCCCTGACCAAAACCAATACAACATGCACCTCGCGGCTAAATCTGGATCGTGCGCGGTCATCCCGCGATCACTGTCAAGTGGTTTTGGACAGGGACGGCAGGGTTGGTGGCGCGTGGCCTGCTGTGCGCAGGCCCACCAGACACAACGATGGGCATCGGCGGTTTCGACAAGGATGGCGGGGGCCGGCATGTTTCCCGATGTATGCTGTCACGCGCGCAGGGAACCAAGCGTGCCTGGCACGCCCAGGCCCCAGGGGTGCCTGGCGCGCGTGGCGCCCCTGGCACGCGTGGCGCACCTCGCCGAAGCGTCGGGCACCTGGGGTCGGCTGTGGTTCCCAGTAGCTACCCATCCAGAGACGAGCGCTGAACATGCCAAGGCTCGGGTGCCACTTATGTGTAGGGCAGGGCGGGTGGGAGTGAGCTAGACGGTTTGCGGGCGGGCGGCTAGCTTGACCTCTCCCCCTCCCCCCTCCCCTGGACCTGGACGGTGGGGGCCGCGAGGTGTCAGAGGGTCCGTTTTCGCCCAAGATGGCCCAAAGAGGGCCTCAGAGAGCCCAAGATAGCCTCTAAGATCGCTCAAGATATCCCATCATGCTTCAATCTAGCAAACAACGTACCTCCAAGATGTCCCAAAAGAGCCACAAGACGGTCCCAGGTGCTCCTGGCGACCCCTCAAGACCTCCCCGAGAAGCCAAAATCCTTCAACAACCTACAGGGAATCACCGATGTTCGCCGTCTCGCCTTTTCGCTTCCGATGCGCATTTAGAGCCTCAAGATGGCCCTGAAATAGCCCAAGAGAGCTGCAAGAAGGGCCCGAGAGGCCTCCAACACTGCCCCAAGGGCGCCCGAGATCGCCATCAGAGGGCCACAAAGACCGTCCCAAGATGCTATTTCGATTGCCCAGGATGGGGGGAATAGATCGATGACCCCCCCCCTCCTTTGACCGATTGTCTCCAAGATGGCCCCAGGCTCCATAGCTCCCAAGAGGAAGAGAGCCCCGAAAGAGCCACATGACGCCCCCATGAGGGCCCCAAGGCGCCCCCCCAAAAAAACGAGAGCCCCCCCCCAAGAGAAAAAGCCCCAAGAGGGCCCCAAGATGCCCAAGAAGAGCCCCAAGAGGACCCCAATATCCCCCGGCACAACCCCATCGCTCCAAGAAGGCCTCCGATGCTCCAAGATACCCGCTCAACACCCTCCGTCCTCTCCTCTCCTTGCACGCTCTGTTTCACTGCATGTGTCTCTTCTTTCTATTTCCCGTCAGCTCTCGTGGGCGGGACCCCTGCATGGGCAGTCGGGGACTCGCGAAGCGTAAACAATTACACTGCGTCCGCGCCACTTTTTGAGCCCACTGCAAGATCGACCGAAGAAACGACCGAGGAACAGGTTAGAGCAAGCTCAGCAAAGTGTAACCACATATGTATACCGAGCCGAAGGCTTCTCACAACTGAGGAAAATAGGACTACCACGAACAATGGCAACGGCCTGTCACCATCGATCGAGGCTGGACCCGATGAAAGCACCGAACAACCACGCCCAAAAAATATGGAGCCACCCATAATAGAGCGGCCCTATCTCAGCGGTGCGCGGCGTCACTAGGGGCACCCGCACGGGGGACCAGCCTGCCCCCACCCCCCCCCGACAGGGGGGAATCCACCGGAGCCGCCCCCGCTCGCCAGCGCCCCTCGCGCCGACGGACGGAGCGGCGAAAACCAGCCTGCGAAACGCAGGCCGCGTCGAGCTCGCAGCTCTCCGACTGGAGAACCCCATAAGGAAGATGATAGGGAAAAAAGGGAGGCCCGACAGGACCTCTCGCGGTGGCCACGCCCGCTCGCAGGCGCCCTCGCGCCCCCAATCGGCGCGGCAAGCTGGCTACGGCACCCGCAGGCGCCCCTCGCGCCTACGCGCGGCCTTGCTCGCGGCGGCCGCCGTCGTCGGTCACCCCGACTCGGCTCCAGCTCGCGGATCTGCTGCTCGACCACCAGCTCCCGCCGACAAAAAAGCTCGAGATCCCCGTGCTCCTGCGCGGTCTCGGCCTGCAGCATTGCGATGCGCTTCGTCTTGGCCCTGGCCCGCGCCTCAGAAACTGCGGGCATGATGGGATGGCTGAGCTCCTTCATGACCGCGTCGTCGATATCCCGGAGGTCCGCCTGCAGCGCGGACGTCGCCTATGCGGCGAACTGCGCGTGCTCGCCGAACGTCCTCGCTGGACTTCTTAGCACCCCCAGCGGCCAGCTGCTGCTGGCCCTCCAGCGCGCTCTGACGCCAGTGCCGCTCGCGCTCCCTGTCGGCGTTGGCCCGCAGCATGGCGAGGCACACCTCGGCCTCGACCTGCGCCTCAGAGACTTGAGGCAGAGTGTTCTCGCTGAGCTCCTTCACTACCGACTCGTCGATATCCTTGAAGTCCGCCTGCAACACGGACGGCGCCTCTGCGGCGAGCTGCACGTGCTCGCCGACCTCGCCCTCGCACTCGCAGGGCTTCTTGGCGCCCTCCGCGTCGCTCTGATGCACGACCACCAGCGCCCGCTGACGCCAGCGCCGCTCGTGCTCCCTGTCGGCGGCGGCCCGCGGCATCTCGAGGCGCGTCTTGGCCTCGACCTGCCACCCTACGTCTTGAGGCAAGATGCTATCGCTGAACTTCTCGACGACCGCCACGTCGATCCTTGACGCCCATTTGCTGATTGGACGCGGCCTCGGCGGCATGCTGCGCGTTCTCGCCGAAAGCATCTTCGCGCCCGCTGGACATCTGCTCGCCCTCAGAGCCGCTGCGCGCGCCGGGCGCCTGGCCCTCCGCGTCGGCCTCCGCGGGCACGCGCTCGGAGCCAAAGTCGAAGTGCCCCGCCTCGCTGGCGCGCACCCTGGGGCACCCTCCTGCCACCCAGCGCAGGAGCACGCGCCGGGCCTTCTTGGAAAGGAGACCTGCCCCGTCATCTCGTAGACCGCAGGCGCATCCATGAATGATCGCCTCGTGCATTTCCTCGCACATCTTCTTGATGAATGGTGACTTGGACCAGCTTCTGCTGTTGCAGGGCTGCCTGGGCTCGGCGCGGCAGTCGGCGATCTTCTTGGCTTCCTCGTAGAAGGTGAGACATCCGCGCTGCATTCGTCGACCCTGTCGGATCTCGTTGGCCGGCAGCTTCTTCTGAGACTCGCTCTTTTGGTTAAGGTCCTGCATGGGGCAATCCGAGGCGCAGGGTAGGCTGAGAACCAGTCGTCTGGGTCGAGTTAGCCGCAGGAGATGAATCGCCCTGCGCGCGCCCGTAGCCGTCGCCTTGTCGTCGCCGTTGAAGAGTCCGCAGCGAACCACGGCGCCCCCCCGCGCTTCGATAGCTCGACCTAGAGTGGTGGCTTCCGGGCAGCACGCCTCCATGAGGTGCGCGCGCACGGTCTTGGTCAGATTGGCGGTGTCGTCCCGGTCTCTGCGTAGATCTTCTCTAACGCCCTCTCCTTGGTCTTGTAGAACTTCTGCGAATCGGCATTGCCCAGATTTCTCAGCGGCCCCGCTTCTTCGGCGCCTCGGTCACCTCCGAATCGTCCAACAGGCTGTCGTCCTGAGTCGGCAGGAACTTTCAGGGGCCCTCTGGGCCCCGCTTGGCGAGCCTGGCGGCCATGCGCCCCCATTGCATTGCGACGGCCTGGCTCTGGAGATCCCCGAGGGCCTCGCTGAAAGGCTCCGTGTTGAAGTACTGGTGGCTCTCCCCACCGCAGCAACTGCATCCCTTCTTTGTCCGATTGGGTGCTCCGCAACAGGAGCATCTCGATCGACCTCGGGGCGACCGATGGTGCTCCCGCGGGTGGCGGCGGCACTGGACCGTGCGGTGCTGGCATTGGAGTGATGTCCGTGACGTAGTATGCCACTGGCGGACTGGCTGGCATCGCTGCTGGTGGTGCTGGCGGTGGCCATGCAAGATGTGGTCCGAACTGCGCCTGCGCCTGAAGGCGAAGGCAGTTGTGACTCCGTCCGCTGCTGCGCCTGCACCCTCCGTTGGTCCTTCCCACTGCTCGCAGCGCGAACGCCTACCCGCTGGGCTGTGCGTCGCTGGTGATCCTGCCGGACTGTTGATCGGCATCGGGATCGGAAGCGATGAAGGCGCCGACGTCGGCGTCTTTGGCGACGACATTGGAGTCGCAGGAGACGCGGCTGACGTCGCCGTTGGCGGCGCAGCACGCGCCCGCCGGTCGCGCCGCAGGCGGTGGTGGCCCCGGCGGCGGCCCCGTAGAAGATTCCCCACATGGCATCCGCCGAGCACGAATATGTGGGAAGATAAATTTGAAGCGCACTGGGGTCCACGAGGACCCCTCCGCAGCGACTTGAAGCCACGCGCGGTTGAGGACCAAGTTTCGTCGTTTCTCGTTTTCCACTGTAGGTTGTCTTGCAGAGGTTCGCATTCGCATTCTTCTCAGGTCCACGAGGAGGGCGCCCCCGGAGGTCTGGGCGTGTCCCACGAACGCGTTCTTCTCCTGGTGATCCTCGGTGCCTCTTGAGGTCCTCGACAGTGGTTGGACGTTTTGGTGGTGTCGGTCTTCTTTCGGTCGCTAATCGCGTCGAGCTTGTACTGCTCGGAGTATTCGGCCTGATCGGATCCCTCGAGGTGATGTGGTCGATGCTTTCGATCGTTGTCTCCGAAATTTATGGGGGTCCGCTCTTTTTTATTTTGGCCCCACCGATGATGTTGATGGCGATGGAGATGATGTCTCACGCTAGTGCCCCGCCCAGCAGCCGGCGCAGCCCGCTGCGGGCTCCCCCGACTTCTCGCCCAGCACGAAGGCGTCTTGCGTCACCGTGGCCGCCCGGCGCCCCCCCAACGTCAGCGAGTACGGCACCTCCCGCCACCACTGCGGCGTCGACTGGTTGATCGCCAGGTGCGTGCTAGGGAAGCGTTCGCAGTAAAGACCTTGTTTCCGAGAGATGGGGGCCCGAGCCAACTCATTCCACAGTCGACCGCCACCTTCAAGTCGTCGGTCCAGATGTCCAGACCCGGCAAGATAAGCACGCGGTTCGCCAACACGGAAAGGCTGATGTTCCGCAGCTAAGGACCCAGAAAGGCCTGACCAGTCACTGATCCCATCGAGCACTTCTGTAGGCCGTCCCCGAACGTGAAGGAACAAGTGTCGTCGCGGGCCTCGAACTCCACGTCGTGGTCGATGAGCATCTGGCACATCAAATTCTCCGCGCCCTCAAGGCCGCCGAGGCTCCGCGTCGCGCGATGTCCGACACGCCCCAGATGCCATCCCGCTCCAGCAAATACACGCACTCGCCCAGCGCCGACAGGATGAAACCATTGAGCGCGGTCCCGGCGTTCCCGCCGGCCTGGTTCCCGACCTCGTTGCGCTCGGGACAGTCTCGCGCACCGTGGCCGAACTGCCTGCAGACGATGCACTTCGTCTTGCTCAGGTCACGAGCCCCATTTGAAGCGTGCTCGCCGATCCTGCTGCCCACGTGCGCGCCCTCTGGCTTGTCCGCGTGGCCGTCCTTCCGCTCGAAGCCGCGGCGGCGGCGTGAACCGCTTCTCCGCGCCCTCGTCCTTCGGGGCCACAACCGAGAAGTAGCCCTCGCCACCCGTACTTGAGATGGTAAATCTCAAGCATCCCTGACACTCCTTCCAGCCGTGCGAAGCTGTGTGAGCACCTCGTTGTCCGCGACAAGGCCAGCAGGCTCGTCCTCGTCATCGCCCTCCTCAGCGAAGTGAATGAGCTGCTCGACCATGCCGTAGATTCCGCCGGCATTTCCACCAGTCTCGAACTGGTCGCGCACGGCACTGTTCTCGAACATGGCCCGCTCGCGCTTTGTTTTGCCGTCCAGCTCTGCCGAGGGCTCTGCTGGGAAGCGCGCGAGATACGTTTCGTAAGTCTTCGCAAAGTTGAAGCCCCCGCCTGCCGTCGCCGCAACTTCTCCTCGAAGTGCGAGAGCGAGCCGGGACTTCCTGAGAAACGACCAGGTGCGTAATGGCTTCGCAATCAATTATTTGACATCGGCGTCGATCGCCTGGAGTTGCGTCAGCAGCCCCCTCTCCTTCTTCTCGAACCTGGCGGCCAAGTCCTGAAAGGTCTCGCCCGAGTTGCGACCGATCTTCGAAAAGAACTCCTCCGCCAGCAGGCCTGTGTCGCTGAGGCTCGCGTAGTCTAGCTTCTCCAGCACATAGTCGAACACCTCCTCCAAACCGTCCAGTCTGCCGTCGTCGTCAACTCGATCTACGCCGTCGATCGCGGGGCAGCCCTCGACGGCGTTGCGGGCCCGAGGCCCCAGGGCCCGCACCAGCTGCGGCCCACAGATGTAGCGATCGCACAGGCAGATGCTCCCCACGAACAGCGGAACCTCGAAGCGAAAGCTTGACAGCTTGCCAGGTTCGCCGTTCCAGGATGGAACCTCCACTCGAGCGGACGTCGTGGTCCCCATCGAAGACGCCATCGTACCGAGACCGGCGGAAGCCCATGGTGTCACAACCACAGGCTCCGCTACCAGTCTTAATCCCGAAGAGCCTCGAGAGGTTCTCGATTACGCTGACGATGTTGTAACCTCGCTCCTTGGTCCAACATTTGAAGACAATGAGATCTGAGATGTTTCCATACATGTGGGGGCACCTACTGCCCTATTCGTATTATAATCAGTCGTGGCCAGATGCTCACGAGCTTCAGCTGAACTCAGCTGTACAGTATGTATGTTGCCCGCCCGCCCATTCAACTGGAACCACACGGCGGCACGTACACGGCAGATGAACAAACACAACGACAAAATGGGTATAAACGAATATGGAATCTGAAATTTCTGCGTTGCATTCAGGGTCCCCCGGGGGTAGGGTCGAAGGGGATCCTGGGTCTGAATGCGATCCCCCTCGGGGTGTCCTGGGCGCAAGAACGTCCCAAGACGGGCCAAGAGCGCCCCAAGGGGATCCCAAGACGGTCCAGGAGGGCCCCGAATCGACGAAAGATGTCCAAAACGCCTGAGATGGCCTCTAGATGGCCCAAGAGCCCTCCAAGACACCCCCAGAGGCCGTCAAGAGCACTCTCAAGAGGGCGCGAAGAGGGACACGTAAATGATTTGGCTTAGGCGTTTGACAGATTTGGCCGTTCTCGCCTTGTCGGCTTCCCGACGCTCCAAGACGGCACAGAGACCCCAAAGATCGCCCCAGCACGGCCCAAGAGGCCACTAAGAGGGCCCCAAAGCGACCTCCGAGTGCTCCACGGCCCACGACGGCCTTAGAGTCAAGACGGCCCAAGAGGCCCCCAGAAGAAGGTGCCCGTGCGAAGACCCGAACAGACATTTCGAGCCCTCGTTCCGCGAGGCTCCCAGGACCGACCCAAGAAGGCCCCAATAGGCCCCAAGAGGCCCCCACGAGGCCCCCAAGAAGCCCCAAAGAGACTCATGCGAGGCCCCCAAGTGGCTCCCAAGAGGACCCAAAACTGCTCCCAGAGGTTCCCACGAGCGCCGAGAGCTCCGAAGAGACTCCAAGAAGCATCCCTGAAATCTCTGACACACGTCAGCATCGTCGCCGCCGCCACCGTCGTCCCCCTTGAGGGTCAACGGCCCCTCCTGGAAGGCCTCTCAACACCCCAAGTGCAAAAGTGTGCAACATGTACACTGACAGAGGCCAGCTCCTTTCCAAAATTGGGCGATCGCCTGGGACTTGCTCAAACCTGGCGACCAGAAGCTCAACCGTACAGCTGCGCGGATGAGGACGCTTTGTCTCAAAGTGGAGCTACAGTGGAGACCGGTCCACAAGAAACCTTCCACAAGAAACCCAAACTGAGCCCCCGGGATGTCCACTGATTTTGGTGTGGGAACGTCACGCTTTAGCAAGACCATTAAAACCCAAGAAACCCAGGGCACCCCGGAGGCGAGCAGGGTGTTTCGTGGCATGGGCCTCCAATGTATTGCATGCGACTTCCGCAGAGGCGACGGCTGAAACAGCAAACCTGCCCAATCATTACACGGATGGCGGTGCGATCCCCTTTCAAAACGGGTCTCTTACTCGACACATCGTTGAGTTTTGTGATCCTGCCTTGCCGCACTCCTTAGAAGTCGTTAGAAGGATGCAAGGCAGTTCCTTTTCAAAAAGAGACTCTCGCTTGAATGGCAGGCCCGTCGTGTGTTCGTCTTTTGAGGGGGCGCTGTTGGAGGTAATCAGGACGGTCTGTAAAGACTCATGATGGAACTTGGGGCGGGAGGGTGTATTGCAGCATCGTTGATACATCGTAGGTTTACTGTGGTCCTCCTCCTCCACCTCCTCCTCCTCCTCCTCTCTGCGCCGCTGGGCCGAAGGAAGATCCGACTGATCGCCACAGCAGCACACCCCACGGCGGATGTCGCGCGGGCGCCTCTTTCGGTTTCGAGATTCACTGCGCTGCCGTGTCAAGGGCGTTTCTGTAGAGTAGACTCAATTGCAACAGTGGAAGTGCGCACCACCACAGACTGGAGCTGATACAGGAGAGGACACAGAGCTATATCCGCGACTGTGCCGTAGGCACTGAGTGGAACGTTCTGAGGTCCCTTCGAGTTCTCTGCTTGCCTATGCACACATGTGCATGCACAAAAAAACAACTCATAACCCAGAGTTCTGGGCGCTCTTCGGCTCATCAGGAGGCTAGCACGAGGTCCCCGACACTGGCAAGAGGCCCCCTGATGGCGACCAAGACGCCCCGGGTCAAGGAGGACTCTGGCCTACAACCCAAGCACGGTGGCAGGATGTGCCGAAGGCCGCGATAGATACTTAAAACACTGGCTGGCAGTGCAGGAGAAAGGGCGCGTCAAAGGGGCCGTCCCACATCCAGGCTAACTTGTCATCCCGAAGCTGGACAAGCGGACGGATCCCCTCCCATGGCAGAGCTTCTGTGCCAAAACTTAGGCATGCGCCCTCCCTGTGCACCAGCTGCTGAGCAGCCCGCGCCTGCCCTGGGCCCGCGGGGGCCAGCGGGATAACGCTGTCTAGGCCGCCATTCCCGGCGACACTGCCGAACTGCTGGTGCAAACAGGGCGTCTGCCCCCAGTGCTACTGCCAAGGTGCACCCCGTGAGACAAAGAAGGCGGTGCCCGCTGACGGAGACTGGGCCCCCCCCCCCGCGGCCGCCCCCAGCGCTGAAGATAACGAGCCTCTCGAACATGATCGACCCGCGAACCCGGAAAGGGATATAGAAATGTGAGGCATGACACCGGATTGGGCGACGGGCACATGCAATGCTGACCATATATGTAGATCTTGATGTGCCATGCCGAGTCCTGTTCTGTGCTGCGCCGTGCTGAATTGCGATGTGCCATGCCGCTATTGTGCTCCATAGCGTTGTGGATCGAGTCCCCCTCTGCATCCGAGTCCTGACCGAACTGATCTGGATCTGAAGCTCGAGCTGCCTGAGCCCATTGTAGCTGCCCCAGAGCTAATTGACAGGGGGACATGCCAGGAGGACGCGCCGCGGAACGTCCCAAGGGGCTCGCCAGGCGACGTGCCAGGGGACGTGCCATGGGGACGCACCGCGGGACGTGCCAAGGGGACACGCTACGGAACGTGCCAATGGATGACCACGGGACGTGCCAGGGGACGCGCCGCGCAACGTGCCAAGGAGACTCGCCACGAGCGCGTTTCTTTATGTTCGGCGATGACGGGCGTCATGGGGGGGGGCGGGGGAGGGTATGACGTAACGCCCTCCCCCGCCGGGTGGCTCCGGCACTGCAGCTGCACCCGCGCGCACGACGCAACGAGCGACGAGCGACGGACGACAACGACGACGACGACGACTACGACGACGATGGGCCTGCGTACACCGCAAAAGCCATTGTGCAACGCAGCGCCTGTGTACACCACAATGCTTGCGTACACTACAGCGCTGGTGTACATGTGTAAACCGCAGCAACCATGTGCAACGCAGCGGCTGTGTACGAAAGAGCATGTACGTGAGGATATGCTGCGGACAACTAAACGCCACGCCGGGAAAATGCTGACAATCGAATGCGACGTTCTTCCGTCCTCATTGTTCCTCCACCTCCTCCTCCTCCTCATCATCCTTCTCCTCCTCCTCCCCCTCCTACTTGGTTCTCGGACGGCCAATTTAGCTGGAGCCTCCTGGACGCAAATGGCAGGAGTTAGGGTGATGCGGGCGGACTCGGGAGGACTCGTAGATTCCACCGGCGCTCCATAGTGGAATCCACAAGCGCTCCATTTTGTCACATGGATTCCATTCAAATTCTATATACAACAGTGGTGCTGTGTTGCACACGGTTGCTGTGGTGCACACAGTCGCCGTGGTGTACACAGGCACTGCACTGCACGCAGGCATTGTGGTGTACATTGGTGCTGTGTTGCACACGGCTGATGTGGTGTACGCAGGCGCTGTGGTGTACACAAGAGCTGTTGTGCCCGCAGGCACGGTGGCACAAACTGACGCTGTGTTGCACGCGGGTGCTGTGGTGTACATAGGCGGTGTGGTGTACACAGGCGCTGTGGTGCACGCAGGCACTGTGGAGTACACAGGCGTTGTGGTGCAAATCGCCACCTGCATGCTGGTGCTACCCGTCCTCCGTCATTCCTGAGCATTCCCAGACGCCGCCGGCGAGAAACGTGACGTCATCGACCCCCTCCCCCCCCCAAAATGATTGCCGTCATCGGCCCGGAATAAAAGTCAGGCTCCAGCCGCGTCCGCGCGCACGACGACGATGAGCGACGAGCGACGAGCCACGAGCGACGACGACGACGACGACGACGACGACGACGACGACGACGATTGTGGACCAGATTCTTATACGGTGTCCTACGCAGACACCTACGCGGATCCCAATGCGCACTGCGGCAGTGCCCAAAGCGCACTGGGGGGGGGGGAGCGTTACGTCATACAGGGGGGGGGAGCGGGGGACATGACGCCCGTCATGCCCCAAGCAATATAGAAACAGGCTCAACGGGGCGCACCACGGAACGTGCCAGGGAACGTGCCAGGTTGCAATGCTGAGTGTATCGATCTCGATGTACTGTGCCGAGGGCTGTGCTGTGCCTGGGTGACCTGGACACGTGAAAACAAGCGCTTCGCTCAAGACATTCTCGACACATCGTCATGCTAGACATCCGCCTGGGCAACCTGGACACGCGCAAACAAGCGTCTCGCTCGAGACATCCTCAACAAAACCTCACGCTAGACACCTGCCTGGGCAACCTCGACGCGTGCGTCTCGCTGGAGACATCCTCAAGACCTGGGCACGTGAAAACAAGCACTTCACTTGAGAGATCCTCTGAATTCTGGTCCCCAGGAGAGGACAATCTAGAACACAAAACACGCGTTTCGCTCGAGACATCCTCAACAAGTTCTGAACACACATTCGTTTCGCTCGGGACATCCTCAAACTTTCATTCGCTGGCCCTCTTGGACCTTGTCAATTATCGCGAAGGAGATTCGCTGGCCCTCCTCGAAGTTGGCACCGGGGACAGGTTCACCTACTAAAAGAGAACCCTGGGCCTAAGCCCTTTCCGGGAATTACGCTGCGTCTGCCCTCCCAGGGCCACGATCCCTCCTAAATTAAGCTGCGTCCGCGCTCCCAGGGCCAGGATCCCTTGTAAACTACGCTGCGTCCGCGCTCCCAAGGCCACGATCCATTGTAAATTACACTGCGCCCGCTCTCCCTGGAGCACGATCCCTCGTAAAGTACGCTGCGTCTGCTCTCCCTGCCACGATCCCTCATAAATTACGCTGCGTCCGCTCTCCCTGGGCCGCGCCCCATAATGAATTACCCTGTGTCCGCGCTCCCAGGACCACGTTCCCCGCCGTCCGCCCCCCCAGGGCCACGATCCCTCGTAAAATACGCTGCGTCCGCTCTCCCTGGGCCACGATCCTTGTAAACTACGCTGCGTCCGCACTCCCAGGGTCAAGAGCCCATGCAAATTACACTGGATTTGCGCTCCCAAGTACGCGGCATCTGCGCTTCCAGGGCCGCGATCTCTTGTAAATTACGCTGGGTTTGCGCTCCCAGAACCCCCTGGGCATCCTATAGCGCCCAGACCCGTCAAATTTTGCAAAACAAGCGTTTCGCTTGAGACATCCCCAGAATTTCTGCGCGCAGGACGCGCCATCCTCAAGCGGGCACGCAAAAAGTTAGCATTTTCAAATTTGGTGGTCCCGGTCGGGGCTCCAGACCTTGGTTTTTCTGAAGGATTCTGCAAAAAATGCCCCGCACTTTTTTAAACAAGGGAAAGCGGGTGTCTGCAGACCCGTTATTTATCGCGGATCCGAGATGGGGGGCGCACTTTCCTCGAGCGGGCACGCGCGAAACGCTTTTTGTTCCACGCCGAATTGGACGTTACTGTGTTTTTCATCGAACGGAAACCCGCCGCCCTCTTTCAAGCATGGCACCGGGGGAACATAATACTAAAAGAGAACCCTGGGCCCGAGTCCTTTCCGGGAAAAGCCTGGCATGCGCAAACATCGGGTTCACGCCGCGATGACGTCGAGTTGGTTTCTGAAACCGCGCAGATCGTTCAACCTTGAATAATCGCGGCCTTTGGATAGCGCAGATCGCTCGATGCCTGTCGATCCTGCGCCAATGGCGGCGTTAAGCCTTGAGCGCTCGCGCTAGAATCGCTGGTGCGTCAACGCGGCGCGAACCTGCCGTACGACGAGCGAACCGTTCCTGCGGAGCTCTCGAGCTCCCTGGGACGGCTCCTAGAGCCCGGAGGCGGCTCCCTGAGGCCGTGGGGCCGGGGCAAAACATGGTCGACCCACCAACCCGGAAAGGAATGTAGAATTGTTAGGCATGGCAACGCTTCAAAGACACCTGATTGGGCGACGGGCAAATGCAGTGCTGAGTGTATCGATCTTGATGTACCGTGCCGAGGGCTGTGCTGTGCTGCACCGTGCTGAAATGCGATGTGCCATGCCGAGATTGTGCCCTATAGCGTTATGGATCGAGTCCTCCTTTGCATCCGAGTACTGACCGAACTGATCTGGATCTTAAGCTCGAGCTGCCTGAGCACATAGAAGCTGCCACAGAGCTAATTGACAGGAGGACGTGCCAGGAGGACGCGCCGCAGAACGTCCCAAGGGACACGCCAGGCGACGTGCCAGGGGACGTGCCATGGGGACGCGCCACGGGACGTGCCAAGGGAACGCGCTACGGGTCGTGCCAGTGGACGTGCCACGGGACGTGCCAAGGGACGTGCCACGGGACGTGCCAGTGGACTCGCCACAGGACGCGCCACGGAACGTGCCAGGTTGCAATGCTGAGTGAGTGTATCGATCTTGATGTACCGTGCCGAAGGCTGTGCTGTGCTGCGCCGTGCTGAACTGCGATGTGCCATGCCGCGATTGTGTTCTATAGTGTTGTGGATCGAGTCCTCCGTTGCATACGAGTCCTGACCGAACTGCTCTGGATCTTGCGCTGCCTGAGCACATAGTCCACATAGTATCTGCCCCAGGGCTAATTGACAGGGGAACATGCCAGGAAGACGTGCCTCGGAACGTTGTTAGGGACGCGCCAGGCGACGTGCCAGGGAACGCGCCGTGCAACGTGCCAGAGGGACTCGCCACGGGACGTGCCACGGAACGCGCCAGGTTGCAATGCTGAGTGAGTGTATCGATCTTGATGTACCGTGCCGAAGGCTGTGCTGTGCTGCGCCGTGCTGAACTGCGATGTGCCATGCCGCGATTGTGTTCTATAGTGTTGTGGATCGAGTCCTCCGTTGCATACGAGTCCTGACCGAACTGATCTGGATCTTGCGCTGCCTGAGCACATAGTCCACATAGTATCTGCCCCAGGGCTAATTGACAGGGGAACATGCCAGGAAGACGTGCCTCGGAACGTTGTTAGGGACGCGCCAGGCGACGTGCCAGGGAACGCGCCGTGCAACGTGCCAGAAGGACTCGCCACGGGACGTGCCACGGAACGCGCCAGGGAACGTGCCAAGTTGCAATGCTGAGTGTATCGATCTTGATGTACCGTGCCGAGGGCTGTGCTGTGCTGCGCCGTGCTGAACTGCGATGTGCCATGCCGCGATTGTGCTCTATAGTGTTGTGGATCGAGTCCTCCTTTGCATACGAGTCCTGACCGAACTGATCTGGATC